ATAAAAGAACAAAAAAGACGGTATTCTATATAATTATATACTAGTATACCTAACAGTTTTGCGGTGAGAACATAGTTCATTTCGTCATTTGTCTCATGTTTTTGTCTTGCTAGTCTTTTGTCATGGAAGTCATTGTTTTACCTATGAATACCGAAACTTTGTTTTATTTGACAATCACCCTTTCATGTTGCATTTATGTATATGTATTCCGCATAATAAACCGAGATTATAGAACGTGCTTCTTTTAATTTTTTTAATCTTAAGGTTATATAGAGCATTTATTCAAAAATACCTTTTTCACATGTGCTTTACCAAATAACATCAAAACAAACGCCTTTTCCACATACAAACTAATATATAAACTTATTACCCCATGATAAATTAATGTTCACATTTTTTGACATCATTGACTTCATTCATAGCTGCTTTTTAAAATAAATTGTACTCGTGAATTTATTTATCTTATCGTTAGTTATTTGCAACATTATAGAGATTGTCATGATATGAAGAAGTTTACCCTTTTTTAACATGCATATTGGGTTCATGTCTTTCAGTTAATTAGATACGCAAGAGCATAATCTTAGTAAAACCAATCTTTAAAAGGTGCAAGTTATTGGAATTCAAGTTGATTAAACAAGAAAATCAACACCTGCGTTTAAAGTATTCATTTTGCAATTATTTTTGCATTTTGCTTGTTTTTATGCACCAAGTCTTGTATAAAAACATTAAAAAGGCAATCTTAACCATTGGAACATATTTCGACATGTAACAGATAAAGTCTTGTACAACGCCAAAGAATCACCAGACAGGGTCTTTCAAAAGTTTATTAAAAAAAAATAATAAGGATACCCACTACAACGTGTAAATTTACTTCACTTTAGGTGGTCATAAGCAATTTAGTTTGGTTAAAATCATTCTAGTCGTACATGTACTCTAAATTTGATATTTCAAAGATCCTCGAGTTTCTGTGTTGGTTTTGGAGATAATGTCTTCCAACTATTTGTTCGAATTCCCATCAGTAAACTTTTGTGTTTTACCAGATCAAAAAAAAAAAAACAGAGATTTGATTTTAATTTTTAAATGATGGTATATCTTTAAAGTTGTAAATTTTGATTTTTCCAGGGACAGTAAATACAAAGGTATTGTACAACATGTCATATCGTTTCTATTAAAATGCAATTTAAACCAAAAAAAAAAAAAACAGACATTAAGGAGAATTAACTTTTGCAGGAAAAGGATACATGCACATACAACCTCACTAGAATTTTAATCTAATGTTTTCAAAAAAGTCTGTGTCATTGCCCATTTTTTCTTTATCATCAAAACTTTTGAATGTATGAGTCGGATAGAAATGGCGTACATAAACATGTTATCTGCATATTTTCAATATTGTCAGTTAATGCTTTGTGGTTTAGTCCCACTGTAACGTCAAGATCTGAACGAAAGGTGCCTACAGAGTTATCAAATTTGAGAAATAAATTCCTTTAATAATGCTTTACAACTTTAGCTTGGTCAAATGAGGTGTTTCGAGGCATAATTTGTAGGTAAACAAGAATGAAAAACTGTATTTTAAACTGTCATTTTCAATGAAAAATTAAGAAAACCAGCCATGAATATGGGAATTTTTTTTTTACATTAGACAAAGGAAATGTATACAGACTGCCTACAGTTTCTCAAAATACGACAATTAGTATGTTCATGGCCTCTTCTTTAAACCAACATCAAATTTAGTATACCTGGATATATAAGATAATTTATGTATTCTTAGATCATATATATAAAGTACAAGTATTTACATATTTTAATAAATTTATTTGTATTTTAAGTGAGCATTGCCTTTTTGTTTAATAATTTAAGATTAAAAATCAGTGTCTATTTGAAAAATATTAATTGAAACCTGGTTAAAATATCAATGGATTAACTTGAAATTGTCACTCGATTTTGGCAAAAAAACGTACCAACTTATAAGCGGGTCAATACCAAATCTGACCAAAATAACGTAAAAAAATACAACCGACTTATAGGCGAGTATATACGGTAGGTATTCGTTTACTTTTCATATGATTTCATATTGAATGTCATGAAAATACCTTATTTTCTTCATAACTCTGCTAAAGCCGTAAAGTACGGGGAAAAGAAAATTGAAATTTATTATGACGTCATAATGGATCTAGCACCAAAATATTAGTCAAAAGTTATTTACTAGATCTTGACCATATTGCTTGTATAAAAAAATAACGAAATTTTCACAGAATGAAGAAGATGATATCACTAAGTGATGGTATCTGTGAAATTAAGTTTCATCGTTTTATATTAGAGACAGGGACAGGTCATTACCTTTTCCCTGGATATTAATAATAAAAACAAGAATTGTTTGTGAAACACCGCGCCCGACAGAACAAAGTTCGAAAAAGTTAGTTTTTGCATATAGGGCAAGATCACATGGTCATTAACCCTTGTATCATTTGAGAAAAAAAACTTGATCAGTGGAGTTCGCACTCCAAATATGAAGGCTCTATCTCTCATGGTTAAAAATTATAGTTAAGGTTCAAACAAGCTATTTTTTACATATAGGTCATAGTCAATGACCTTGGTGTCATTTGAAAGAGCTTAATGAGTGAAGTAAGCATACCAAATATGAAGTCTATATCTTTTATAGTTTAAAAGTTATGACCAAGGTTAAAGTTTGGAGACCAAAAAAATTCTTGCATATAGGTCACAGTCAAGGTCACAAGGTCATAGACATTGGAATCATTAGAAGAGCTCATTTAATGGAGTATGCATACCAGATATGAAGTTTCCATTTTTCATTGTTTAAAAGTCACTGCGAAAGTTCAAGTTTGCAGGAAAATAGTTATTATTAGCATATAAGTCACAGTTGAGGTCACAAGGTCATTGACTTTAGCGTCATTTGAAAGAGCGTCATTAGTGGCGTATGCATACCAAATATGAAGTCCCTATCTACCATGGTTTAAAAGTTATAGCGAATGTTTTTAAAAATTTGCAGACAAACAGACAGACAGACAGGATAAAAACAATATACCTATCGATCCGGGCTGATAAAAAAATGTTGCCAATTATACGATCACTACTTGTATTTTAAAAGATTGAATTTTTTTTTTTTTTTTGTATTAAAAGATACCACCAATAAAGGGCCTATAACTCAGATCGTATGAAACCAAAATGTATATTAGCTTATCCGAATTTCCTCTACTTTTCCTATATTTTTAAGATATATAAGTTATTTTTATATGCTTCCTATATTTATATTTTTCTCATTTTTGCATACGCTAAAGTTGTCACATAGAGATACATGTTACAAAAACAAAAAGTTTTGATCGTTTACTAAGAGGGAAAAAAGTACTTTTTACGGATTTTGGCTCAAATCTGTACTCAGATTGAAAGCTTATCAAAGCCAACTTGGTTCTAGTTTGTTTGAAAAATCATATTAATTTGATATGTTCAGGAACTTTAGTCCCTTATTATTAATTAAAGTTACATTTTGAAAAGTTCTTCAAGTCTTTGATTGTATAAAAATTATAACTAAATTCATTGTTCTATAATAATTTTTAGAGACAAAAAAGAATTTTCATACGCCACCGTTTTGCCAAAAAATATAGTCCCTGCTAGTTTTCTGTTTTTGTCCCCCGCTCGAAAAGTGGGGGAAATTAATTTGGGTCCGTCCGTCTTTCTGTCTGTCTGTAACGTTTTCGTTTCCACACGATATCTCGAGAACCCTTTGAGCTTTTGCAATGAAATTTTACATATCAACTCCCTATGGACAAAGAAATAACCTTATTGATTTTGGGGTCAAAACGTCAAAGGTAAAGGTCATAAATATGCAAATTCTGTCTGTTATTACACTTTTGTTTCCGAGCGATATCTCAAGAACCCTTTTAGCTTTTGTAATGAAATTTTACATTACAACTCCCTGTGGCCTAAGGAAGACTCCTATTCATTTTGAGGTCAAAAGGTCAAAGTTCAATGTCGTAAATTTATACATTATATCTGTGTGTAGCACTATCCTTTCCGGGCGATATTTAAAGAGGATTTAGAGCTTTTGCAATGTAATTTTATACCAAATCTTCCTAGGACCTCTCTCACCCTCTCTCTCTCGCCCCGTTTGTTTCATTAGTATTTATTGTATTACATGTCCCTATTTTTAGCACTGGGGCATGAGGAGAGTCATTACGTATAAAACAGGTTTTCGGCGGACTTTATATCCTTATTACGTTAGAATTATTTAATAAAGTTTAATTTAGACACCATGCATTGTGTAAAATTTTGACAATATCGAACGTGAATATATTAAGGATGTATTCTTATGATACGCGGAAAAAAAAGTGCATTAAACTTTTCAAATGCTTATATTTTTCTGAAAGTGTAATATCCAAGGAATAATTTAAAGACAAGAAAAGTGTATGTTAGTGTTCATCTAAGAGAGGTTCAACCCTTTGAACATAGGCCAAAATAGAGCATGGGAAATTTCCTTAAAAATGCTACTAGACAATAAAATACCTCATAAAACTTAAAAATATAGTGAATTAAAACTTAATTTGGCTTAAATTTACTTGAAAGTATTGCAAAGTTGATTTTTTAAACAAAATATGAGCAAATAAATACCAGTTAGATAACTTATACCCAAAAATGTTGTTCACCCATGTCAAAATTAGGTATATTTTTCCCTATAAAATTGCTCGAAAAACCAAAGAAAAACATATTTCTACAATTAAACTTTTTAAGAAAATTGTTGTACAATTTCTTTAGGTATTATGGCTTCTTTTCATAGCATGAAAAGTAGGGGTTAGTGCACATATAAGAAAGTTTTGATATTTTTTATATCCCCACCCCATGTTTCTTTTTCAGCATTTAATGAAAATAAATCAAGCATTTAGGCATCAAAGTATGTGTTTTATTCACCAAATATTCAAAATTAGTGTGATAATTTCAGGTAATATTTACAATTTTGTTAAGAAAAGATTTTTAAGAACAAAAAGTAATCAATTAACACATAAAACTTCACAATAGTCTGTTGGATGTCCTCTCTTTCTCTTGGCCTGGGGGTTCCAGATTGGGTCTGGTTTGTGGTGTTGGATGATGGCTTCACAGGTTTTAATCAAATCCAGTCCCACTTTCTCAATCTGATTTTTATAGTTTTCTCCATCTGATTTTAGTGGTTCTTAAACCCTGCTCTCTTCTAAAAAGCCTTCATTAGTGATTCATGTGAAAACAAGACTTACCTGTAAAAAATTATTTTAGAAAAAAATTAGATTATAATTTACTGGTAATATCATTGTTCAAAAATGTAAAATCATTATTTTGTCTATCTGACTTTGTTTTTATAAACCCAGGCCTGTAGTTTAGACTAAAATAATTTCTACATGTTCCATGATGTTTCAGAAATATTCCATATTTTTAACCCACATAGGCCGCCATAGAATGAAGCGACCTAGTTTCTTACCGAATGTAAACAGCTAAAAATTATAGAAGTTATCTTATTATTTTCTTACGGTATGTCTATAAATTTGAGATAGAGATTCTGCATTTACAATATCAAAGGTAATTTATGATATACTAAAAGCTAAAGTTATAATAAAAAAGATAATACGAATGTTGTCGTCTGCACGCCTCTGGAGACCTTAGGCCTAACGTTACGTACATGTAACATGTAATATGCTATGTTTGACTTTGCGATGTGACAGTATACTATGTATTTTGAAACCTTTGTATCTATAACGCACAAACATTGCTATTTTCAATAAGTTTGAAAGCATTGTAAACCTACAATTTCGCTTTTCCACTGCGTCAACACACTTCGGTGCTCTTGGCTGGCATGTTTGGGTACCGCTTTCGAGAATGTTCCTGTAGGCTTAATTGTGATCTCGACAATTTTTTAAATGTTTTAAAATTTCTGTCGGTTGGCTCTTTTAATGGAGTGCCATTCGGCATTCCGGTCGCTTTGAAACGGGCGATCCCATCTTCTTGAGACTTCCCCTCTCGATGTCGATTTCACTTGTCGACTTTCTTAGGCCTATGTCGTAAATATCGTAATTTTGCACACGTGTTGGTCATTTATACAACATAGAAAGATTTTTTATTTAAAAATAAATATAGTTAAACATATAAATCATAAAAACTTTAAAAACTTCTTTGTAAATTGTTATCAGTTTGAATTTTACGACATGTCTAAGTACGAAGACCCACTTGGGGTAAATTGATCAGAAGAATTCATCCTTAATACATGTATGTGACTTCATTTTTTGCATATAATTTTCACCGGTGAAAAGAAGTTCCTTGGTCTAGTGGTATGTCTCTCGCTTCAAATGTGAAAGATACCGGGTTCGAATCCCGGACGATGCATATTCTTTTTCTTCTCGAAATATTTTTTTTTTACTAAATGATAGTATTCAGCATGTGAAATGAAAAAAATTATTAGGACTGGCTTGTACAAACTCATAAAATCATCATTACAGTGTGATAAATATTCCATATAAAAAGTATCTCCTATACACATAATAAAGAATAAGCAATCAAATCTTTATGTGCATATTGAATACATGTATTTTATTTGCTTCAGTACACATGTATACATTTAATAATTCTACAAATTCAGTCGGGGGATCCGACTTTTTCCCTAAGCGGGGGACACGAATTCTCTGAATTAACTTGTATTATTTCTATTTAAATTTGTACAATGGTGATAAGGGAAGAAAAATGGTCTTTTAAATCTCTTGCACCTAAATATACAAGACATATCAGCAAATATTTCATCTAGCAGTCAGAAACCAGAGGAGACTACTACCTTAAAAGAAGGAGAAACATTCTTGTGTTAATATCAATGTCTTTATTTAATCATAAAATCCTACAAAGTACGTTCTTGTATGTGCAATATTGTTTTATTGATCTGTTCGTCATGGTACATTTATTGAAGAACCATTTGCTTAAAGACTCCTTCACACAAACCGGTCAGTGTCACAGAATGATTTAAAAAAGTGGTTATAAAGATACTAAAAAAATATGTAAAAACTCTTCAATTGATGTGGATATAAAATTAATTTTATAACTTTTTGAAGACGTATTCTCAATAAAAAATATATTAATATGTCAAAAATTTCCAGTCTACTTTAATTTGAGGGCATATTATCATCTCTGTGTCCTTCACAATTTTAGCAAACAAGTGTCACTTCAAGGTCTACAACTCTATAAATTAATATAGAAACATCGACAAACATATCTTACAAGCATTCACATCTTACATTTTCTTGTAATTGTTGTTTTACGCATTCTATTCTAATTTGTGTGGCTTCTTTTATTCTGTTATACGGTTGCTGTCTAAGCGACTCTTCATATGAATGTAAAGCCCCGTGTAAGTCTCCCACAACATGCTGACAGATTCCTAGTATCTGCCAGGATAGGTCTCTGAGTTCTAAAGGCACATATATCCCATCATCATAGAGCAGCAGGGTTTGTAGGTCTGTCAGTGACTTTAAACACCGAGATCTATTACTTAGTCTATAGTGAGATAACACCGACAACATTTCTACTATAACAAATGGTGATACACTTAGGAGCGTGTCTCCATTATGCTGACTCACATTTTGTTCTAAATATAATTCTTCAATATAGGGGATATTTTTATTCTTCGAGACAAAGACAGATTACCTACAGCTGTGTTGTACCTTTGCCTAGTAACAGTTTTATTATACATAATAAAGGCCTGCGAAAGTCTTTGTTTAGCAATACAAGTGATATGTAGAGTTTTATCATAACTCCCTGTTCTATAGTAATACAATGCTAGATATAATAAATGAGACACATGACCTAATCTTGCTGCCATTTTCAACATGCTAGAGATTATGGTATTTAAGTTCTAGATATTTTTATGCGTGCAACATAAAGTGTTATTTGCCATTGTGAAGGCTAAATGAACAAGAGTCTCAGCAGTACAGTACTGTAATGTTAACAACTGGTATGGTGAGAGTAATAACCGAGATAGTGTGTTAATTGATTTTAGATAAAGATAAAACTCCCATGTGTCTTTAGGAGAAAAAGATAATTTAAATATTTCAGTCATTCCACAGATATCTAAATCTACAACACTCATAAAATCTCCCTCAGCAGCAGATATTTCTAAAGACGGGCTACTGAGAGCTGGTTCTAGGATTGATCTGAGTGTCGGACTCAGCAGTAAACATGACACGCCCATTCTGTAATACCGATAAAGCTGTTTTAGAAGACATATACGAGCATCATCAACAATTTTTTTCATGAACATGTTGTTCTGTGGAATAAAAAAGTTTGGAAAATCTTCTCTATAAACACAATGTATGAGGTATTTGAAACACTTCCAAAAGCAATCTATTAAATTATCCGGAAACCATTTAATGTGACCTAATTGAATCATCCAGAACATTGTGGTCTTCATGAGTAGTGATTCCTCCCTAAAATTGATGACATCCTTCAGGAATATTTTCAAGAGTCCGTAACATAAAAATTGTGAATGATTCATGTTACACACAAGTTGTTGTTTGGCATGGGAATACGACAATCTCCATTTCAGTTCGTTATAAGGCGATTCAACTTTACTTCCGATAGGCACAGAGTGACATTCATTTTTTAGGATTTTTTCCAACACAAATGCAGACGGCCAGGCATGCCTTTGGCATCTGTCAACCCAACTTCCTAATAGTTTAGGCAAAGGAAAAGAGGCTAAACACAATGCAAAATCGAATTCAATTGAGCTATTACATGTAAAAGCACTACTACAAGGACCATGAATTTTTAAAAATTCAATGCCGTAGCCTTCCTTATGGAGGAACAGAAAATAAATTTCTCTCCACAGACGACAAGATAAATAGGCACCGTCATTACAGAGAACAAGACAATGTTTCGATGTTTTGCCTTGTATTTTGTGTCGAGTTGGTGTCAGGAGGCGCAATCTTACAAATCCTGGCGGTGTATCAGAATCTTCCATTAGTAAAAATATATATTTTGAGGTATTATAAAGCCGAGACTGGGATATGTCAGTTATTAATTTATAATAAGAAAACCATATCATTATACCTATGTCTGAAGATCTCAACCTAAATCCCTCTCTATAGCTACCACTTTTTATCGAAGCAAATCCTTTCCGATTATAAACAAGTTTCTATATCATCTCATACATGTCCAGCACATCCCTTCTGATGGCCACTTCTGTGGGTGTCCCTATCTTACGACACAGACCAACATAAAGGACCTCTGATACAGTGGCTGGAACGTTATTGTTGACAACTTACACGAACGATCACGTTACACGAACGATTCCGAACGATTAACACACGATTAAACCTGTTACACGAACGATCTTTCACGTTCACGATTCTACACGTTACACGATCTTACACGATTGTTAACGCAAACGCACGATTCTTCACTCAATAGTTCAAAATATTTAGGAATCAATATTTTCAAAACGAAATACGGCTTAATACTTATTTAAGATTTCAAAGATTTCAAAGAATTATCAATATTATCTATAGACTTTGAAGAAAAAAACGGAAAATGATATTTCTGTAACTAAATATATATACAAGACTTAATATTTTAGATTAAAAATAATTATTTCTAAAGTAATTCTCCGATAAAAAAAAAAAACGGATTTTGTTCGTTCTATTAGATGTGGGTCGTATAATTTGATTGAAGTGGCTATTATGATATGCAGAAAGGGGGATACGATTGAACAAAAATGGCAGCATGGAATTACTTAAATTATAATTACAAATTTTATCCTTATGTTTCCAATGATTCAATGTCTGATAAACTTGCCGACTTTTTTAATTGCCGAAATTTAAAATTAATTAATTACAAATAGGCTCAAGAGATAAACACAGATAATATAAACTCCCGAAAATCATGCCGTGTCCATGTATATCTGTCGAGTAACTAGTTATGTAAGCATTGAGAAATGTTTATTTCTTTGTAAAAAAAATTATTTATTTTCAATGAATTGATGTCAAGATTCTCTTGACCACAATAACACTGAATAAGAAGTAAATAATAATTAAAATCAGATTTTTCAAAAAGGCGTTAAAGATCTTAGTACGGTTTATCACAATATTGATCGCGCTATTTGACGAGAACTTAATATTGTACGACTTACTATATTGCTTGTTTACGGGCGATAATTAGTTGGTTCTGCATTCTATTATGTAAATTGCGTTTTTTCATTTTATTTGGATTATTAAAGGAAATACCCAGCCCAGCTACTTTCGTTTCGAAGTAGAATAGTTACTAATTCATACATTAATCAAGTCGGATTACTTAGGATTTTATGTGTCAAATGAAAGGGCCATTTACAAAAGCAATACGGTGTGTAAAGATAAACACAAGCCGTCGCGCTAACACACAGACGCTGACACGCTGACACAAGTTCGCACGTACACGCCGTTGCGATAACTCACAACTCGCAACAGCGTGTGTGTAAGCGCGACAGCGTACGTGTTGTTTGAAAACGTGTTACCGTGAATGCATGTTGTGTGTACGCGCGACAGAGTGATGCTTGAAAGTGTGTTAGCTTGATGGTGTGTTGTGACGTTTAATGGCGTTTTCTTTGTAACGCGCTGTTCAGCTTTTGCAAATAGCCCCAACCGGAGATCATACTACCGTATATGGAGGCATTTGAAACACGTTACGATGTTTTCGTCACACCAACTCTCCAATGAATTGAATGAGTTCCAAAGCATAACAGTTTAATACATGTTTACGATTCAATATCGACAGTTTTCATCGATTGACTGCATTATTTTTACCACTAAATAGCAGTAGTGGCTTAGTGGTAGCACGTGGTAGTGGTCGCCATATTGTAGACGTGTTGCTTTTCTAACCATCTCTAGCTTTTCTCTTATATTATTTGGTTTTGAAATTTTTGGCTTATAGTTTTAAATTTCTAATTGGCATATGTAGAAATCATTATCGTTGTCATTTTTAAGTTGTTAAGAAATATGAAAATATCTTTAATTAGAATATGTAGTTCATAGACAGATAATAAGCATGCGTGGCATAGAAGGTCTTATATCATTCTTATTATTTTAAAAAGATTTTAATTATTTCCGTTTTGGGGCAGAAGATTATTAGTTAAACAGTCAGTTAGTGACCTAATACGGATTCATACAGGGTGTGAAATGGAAATCCGTATTGGGCGAGGCGAATCCGAGTCCCAGTACGGGTTTCCATTTCACACCCTGTATGAATCCGTATAGATTAGGTCACTAACTGACTGTGTTACGAATTTATCCCGCTGATGACCTTTTTCAATATAAGAAAAATATTTGTGCATATTATGAAAATATTAAGTTTTAATCCAATAACAATCAACATAAAATAGCGTTACGGTAACAAGAAATTAAACTAAACTACCTACCCGTAAACCGTTTCTTGGCCGCCATTTTTATTAACAATAACAACGCTTCGAAAGGAAACGCGTGCCGGATTTTCATATTACGCCTTGACGGAGACGTAATACGGAAAATTTCAGGGCGTCATGTGATTAGCTTTTATGCAACCAGTAATCGACAAATTTTTCTGAAGCGGGATAAATTGCAAAACACCCTTTCTACACATACACTGTATCAAACAACTATGCTTTCTATTGGTATTACTACGAAGTACACCACGAACAAATTTTAAAAACGCACAATTTAAACCCACCCCCCCACCCCCGAAACTGTGCAAAATAACCATGAAAACGTTTGAATTAAATGTAATATTAATCACTGACATATAAAAATAACATCATTCTGAAATCGTTACAGTATCTTAATGATGGTTTCCACTCATTGAATACCTGTCCTATATATATATATATATATATATATATATATATATATATATATATATATATATATATATATATATATATATATATATATATATATATATATATATATATATATATATATATATATATATATACTCACCGTCAATAGAAACGCAACACCCTAATTTTAGGGGTGAAAATTATATACGGGATATAACTATGTACCAAAAAACTTAGGACATCTTTTACTTTGCCAAATTAGTTATTTAACGGTTGAATGATTTTCATTCCATGACCGGAAGTTGATTTTTAGCCCCCTGAACAGAAATCAAAAATTAGCATTTTTAATAAAATTATTGTCAATATTTTGGGTTCTCAAGGTTTTGTACCTGTTAATTATAAGTCTTGTACTAAAAGTCCGGAAAAATATCCTTCTTTCTCTTCCGGATGTGATGCCTGTATTTCCTCAAAGTAACTGAAAGCACGCATTTTCATTGCTAATGCTGGAAATTTTCAAAAAAAAAAGGAAAAGGGAGAGCTACAGATGCAAATCAACACTACATAACGACTTTTGGGGTTCATGCGTTTCAAAAGCATGAATGACAGTTACTTGACCGGAGGTCCAAGGGCTACTACATTACACCAAGTTAGAGTAAATTCGACCTCAGTATCTGAAAAACAGGCATTTAAAAAAGGACAAGAATATTTATTTAGCTAAGATTAAGACACTGATAAACTTAATGCATGGTAGAATTTGGGCTGCTTGTGTTGTACATGGCGGACTAGCACGTTTTAATTGAATGGTCGGAATGGGGGATGTTTTAGAGTTATGTGTTACTTTATAAGGTTTAAAGATAAGATTAAGAATGAATACGTAAATGTAAAATGTAAATTTACGAAACAATGATACTTCATTTAAACTTTAAATGTTATCTTTAGACCTTAGAAAGAAACACATAACTTTTAAAACATCCCCCTTCCGACCATTCAATTTAAACGTGCTAGTCCGCCATGCACAACATAAGCAGCCCGAATTCTACCATGCGTTAAGTTTATCAATGTTTTAATCTGAGCGTAATAAATATTCTTGTCCTTTTTTAAATGCCTGTTTTTCAGATACTGAGGTCGAATTTTCTCTAACTTGGCGTAGTGTAGTGACTCTTGGACTTCCGGTCAAGGAACTGTCATTCATGCTTTTGAAACGCATGAGCCCGAAAAGTCGTTATGTAGTGTTGATTTGCATCTGTAGCTCTCCCTTTTCCTTTTTTTTTGAAAATTTCCAGCATTAGCAATGAAAATGCATGCTTTCAGTTACTTTGAGGAAATACAGGCATCACATCCGGAAGAGAAAGAAGGATATTTTTCCGGACTTTTAGTACAAGACTTATAATTAACAGGTACAAATCCTTGAGAACCCAAAATATTGACAATAATTTTATTAAAAATGCTAATTTTTGATTTCTGTTCAGGGGCCTAAAAATCAACTTCCGGTCATGGAATGAAAATCATTCAACAGTTAAATAACTGATTTGGCAAAGTAAAAGATGTCCTAACTTTTTGGTACATAGTTATATCCCGTATATAATTTTCACCCCTAAAATTAGGGTGTTGCGTTTCTATTGACGGTGAGTATATATATTTTAATTTTAAAACCAATTTCATTCGTTTTAACTTTTAATTATGTCCCAAGTCAACACTCGGTCAATTTTTGCGTTTTTAGTCATTCAAATTTAAAAACACAAAATAACTTCCTTTTACATAGAGACACCATGCTCGATATCAAAAGAAATATGCTATCAGTAAATTATTTAGTAAAGAGTGAACTGTTCCAAACCAATCATATAGTCGAGAATAAAATCCTTTTGCTCAGATAAATATATTCCGGTATCAATTACTTGCAGTACATGTAGTTATGAGGTGACAAAAAATCAATAACTGTTAAACATATTCAAAATAAACTTGGTCGGATCTGTCGGATCTTGAGAGAAGAAGTTGAAAATGTGAAAAGTTTACAGAGGGATGGACTGACAGACAGTCGGACGGACTACGGAAGAAGGAGTGATCAGAAAAGGTCAACTGAGCCTTCAGCTCAGGTGAGGAAAAACATTAAGAACAGAAAGTCATATCACAGTTAGGTGCATTTTTGTAAAGTTCTTTTTTTACCAGATCAGAAATGTAGACCTATGACATTTTTTTTCTAATTTTAAATAATGGTATCTTTTAGGTTGTTAATTTTGATTTTTCCAGGGGCAATAAATACAAAATGTACAACATGACAACTTTGCAATAGTACATGTATGTCATATCGACACTGTCAATGGACATTTAAACCAATTAACAGAAGTTAAGGAGAATAACTGTGGCAGGAAATGTACATGTGCATACATAACAAATCTATAATATCAGTCTAATGTATTCTCAAAAGTGTGTGTCAGTTTGTATCGGACCATTTTATTGTCTATCATAAAATGTATTTGAATGTATCAGTTAGATAGAAATGAGGTACATGTTATCTGCATATTTCCAGACTTTTCAATTTATGTTCTGTGGTCGTCGTCCAACATTAAAGGAGAAAAAGGCATTCTATTGTTAATATTTATGTCTTTATTTAATCATGTAATCATACAAAGTACATTTCTGTATAATTATACAATGTCAATGTCTCTATGAAAAATATTGTATAATTGATTTGTACGTCTAGGTACATTGATGGAAGAGCAAATTGATTAAGAACTGCCTTGGGGGCCATAAAACTTAGACGAGCTCACTTTTTTTTTTATATCAGTCTCACCTTTACCAAAGAAATATATAGGGGAAAAGTAGGACTGAGATCAAAAGTGAGCTCATCTTACTTTTATGGCCCCAGCGTTAAGAGAATGATTAAAGAAAGTTATTATTATAATCATATGAAATAGTAATGAAAAAAAATTGATGAGAATACAGAATTCTTTTGTCCTTTTATTGTTTTTGGAAGATTTTTTTCAAAATATAAACATATCATTATATCAGATTACCAGTCTACTTTAATTTGAGGGCAAATTATCTTTAAACAGTTAAGTTTTATCAGTGTTCTTTAAAATTTCATGGTACAAATGCCACTTCCTGGTCTTCAGTTCCTTAAATTAAGATAGAAACATCGAAATATCAATCTTTACAACTGTCCATTTCTTTGTAATTGTTGTTTAACACATTTTATTCTAAAATCTGTAGCTTCTTTTATTCTATGGAATGGTTCCTGTTTGAGCGAATCTTCAAAAGACCGTAACGCCCCGTGTAAGTCTCCCACAACATGCTGACAGATTCCTAGTATCTGCCAGGATAGGTCTCTGAGTTCCAAAGGCGCATATGTCCCATCATCGTAGAGCATCAATGTCTGTAGGTCTGTCAGTGACTGTAAACACGGAGATCTGTTACCTAGTCTGTAGTGAGATAACACAGACAACATCTCTACTATAACAAATGGTGATACAACTAGGAACGGCCCTCCTTTTTGTTGATTCACCAACTGTTCGAAACATAATTCTTCAATACAGGGGATATTTTTAAATAAAAACACATGGTATACCCAGGCTATCTTCATTCTTCGAGACAATGGCAGATTACCTACAACTTCATTGTACCTTTGTCTATCAACAGTTTCATTATACATAAGAAAGGACTGTGATAGTCCTTGTTTCGTGATACAAGTGATGTGTAGTGTCTTTTTATATCTTCCTGTTCTGTAATAATACAATCCAAGATAAAGTAAATAAGACACATGACCTAATCTTGCTGCCATTTTTAACATGCCACAGATTATCATATCTAAGTTATAGATGTTTTTATGTGTGCAACATGAAGTATTGTTCGTCATTATGAAAGCTAAACGAACAAGTGTCTGAGCAGTACTGTACTGTAATGTTAACAACTGATGTGGTGAGAGTGATAACCGGGATAGTGTGTCAATTGATTTTAGATAAAGATAAGAAACCAATATGTGATGAACAGAAAAAAATAATTTAGATATTTCAGTCATGCCACAAAAATCTAAATCTACAACACTCATAAAATCTCCCTCAGCAGCAGGTATTTCTAAAGACGGGCTACTGAGAGCTGGTTCTAGGATTGATCTGAGTGTCGGACTCAGCAGTAAACATGACACGCCCATTCTGTAATGCTGATAAAGCTGTTGTAAAAGAGATTCACGTGCATCACCAACAATTTTGTTCATAAACATGTTGTTCTGTGGAATAAAAAAGTTTGGAAAATCTTCTCGATAAACACAATGTATGAGATATTTGAAACACCTCCAAAAGCAATCTAGTAAGTTGTTTGGGAACCATTTAATGTGACCTAATTGAATCATCCAGAACATTGTGGTTTTCATGAAATATGAACAGAGTAATGGAACCTCGCTAAAATTGATGACGTCCTTCAAAAATATTTTCAAAAGTCCGTAGCATAAAAATTGTGTATGATTCATGCTACATACTAGTTGTTGTTCGGCTTGGGAAAACGATAATCTCCATTCCAGTTCGTTATGAGGCGACCCAACTTTACTTCCGATAGGCACACAGTGACATTTATTTTTTAGAATTTTTACCAACACAGATGCAGACGGCCAGGTATGTCCTCTGTCAATCAAATTTCCTAATAGTTTTGGCCATGGAAAAGAGGCTAAACACAAAACTTCGTCGAATTCGACAGATCGATGGAAACCACTACTGCAAGGACCATGAATGTTTAAAGTTTCAATGTTGTGACTTTTCTGATTCAGGAATTCAAAATAAGTTTCTCTCCACTGACGACTAGATATATAACTGCCATCATTACAGAGAACTAGACAAGATGTCGTGATGTTGTCTCGTGTTGGTGTCAGGAGGCGTAATCTGACAAATCCTGGCGGTGTATCAGAATCTTCCATTAGCACAAATATATGTTTTGTTGTATTATAAAGCCAAGACTGGGAAATATCAGTTATTAATTTATAATTACACAACCAGAGCATTTGATCTATGTCAGATGATGTCAATCTAAATCCCTCTCTATAGCTCCCACTCTTCATCTCAGTACATCCTACATGATTATAAACAGGTTTCTTTATCATGTCCTCCATGTCCATCACGTCCCTTTTGATGGCCACTTCTGTCGCTGTCCCTATCTTACGACACAGACCGACATAAAGGACCTCTGATAGACGGGGAATGTGGTCCATTCTTATATGTATCTCTATAAAAAGAGAAAGCTGTAGTAATTTTTTTATTGCTATACATTGCAATGCAAATTGAGATTAGATTTAAATGATTATGTTTATAGAAACAGTAACCTATTTGATACCTGATTTCCTGCCAATGGCGGTCTATACATGTACGAGATAAATTAAAAGGAAATACCCAGCCACCTACTTTCGTTTTGAATTATAATATTTGCATCTTCATATATTAATCAGTTCTGGTTTACTTAGGCTACCTCTTTTTCCAGACATATCTATTATTCATATTTTGTAAGAGTAGGGTACTACTTTTTAGCTCACCTGAGTTGACGGCTCAAGTGAGCTTTTCTGATCAAAATTTGTCCGTTGTCTGTCGTCGTCAACATTTTACATTTTCATCTTCTTTTCAAGAGCCACTGGCCCAATTTAAACCGAACTTGCCACAAAGTTTCCTTGTGTGAAGGGGATTCAAATTTGTTCAAATGAAGGGCCAAGCCCTCTTCCAAGTGGAGATAATTATGAATTTATGAAAAATTAATGGCATCTTTAAAAAATCTTCTTCTCCAGAAGCATTGGGCTAGAAAAGATGAAACTTATGTGGAAGCATCCTCGGGTAGTGTAGATTTAATTTTGTTCAAATCATGACCCCTAGGGTAGCGCGGGGCCACAATGGCCGATCACAGTTTTACATAGGAATGTATAGGAAAAATCTTTCAAATCTTCTTCTTCAGAACCACTGGGCCTGGAAAGATGAAACTCATGTGGAAGCACCCTCAGGTAGTGTAGATCCAATTTTGTTCAAACCATGACCCCTGGGGATAGGTCGGATCGACAATGGCTGTTCAAAGTTTTACGCCGTTTGTTAAGGCAGCACATGGATCAGAATTCGGCGAATTAACTTTTTTTAATAATATGTAATACTAATGAATCAGATAAAACTATTGCTATCAATATGCATTCTATAGACTTCAATTGGACTTATACTACACTAACTACAGGAAGCACTTCACCAAGACGTCGTCACGTGACGTCTATAAAAAGAAAATAAGCCTTAAAGTAAAAGTGAAAAGTTCAACACTACCCCGGGGATAATTGATTTCAATTTGTAATAATAGTTATGTTAAAACATCTCTGTATCATGAAAAGTGTTGCTAGAATCCTACTGTACTATCACAGAAATAATTATTCAATGCTTTCGCACGAAACCTTCCAAATTTTTTTTTTCATTTAGATCCTTAAAAAATGCATCAATTCCCGTTATCCATACGATTCTAGCAGCAATTTCCAAAACTTTAGATAGAAACAATAATTAAGTTTCAAAGAATGCGGCGTAGTTTTGAATTTTTGCATCATTTTGTTATGAAGGACAGAGGAAGGCTGATCGGCAAGTAAATTAACTGTCTACTGTTATTGTAAGAAGGAATTGTAGAATTATATTAGGATACCTTATTCATAAGCTTTATTCCCACATAAATCACACATTATATTCATTCTAAATGCTTTTAAACTCCGATTTCTTGTGTTTGTTTAGATGAATTCTCCTTACGTTTCACTTTCTCTCTGTGATCATCAGTTATCATGACGTCACGGGTTTGGTATTTAACCCCCTGTGTTATATACATAGACCAAGAAACGACACGATCCCGTTTATATTATGCCTCTGCATATTTTGAATCATTTTTACGACCTCAAATCAATCTTAAATATCGATTTTAAGAAATTGTTATCTCTAAAGTTTACGTCATATAGCTAACCATGACGTCATATCATGTAGGCAAGTAGAATATTTGGTTGTAACCTTAACATACCTGCATACATATGATTATATAGAAAAAAAATCTTTAAAAATCTCCTTCTCCACAACACTTGGGTCAGGAAAGATGAAACTCAAGTGGAAGCATCCTAAGATAGTGTAGATTCACGTTTGTTCAAATCATGACCTCCAGGGGTAGGACGGGATCACAATGGACGATTAAATTTTTTGCATAGGAATGAATACTCCGGGTTTTTCTAAAACTCTTCTTTTTAAGAACCACAAAGCCATGATTGCTCATATGTTTATGTAAGCATCCTCACGAAGTGTTGATTCAAGTTTGTTCAAGTCATGAACGGGAAGTAGGGGTTGGGTAGGGTGGTCCACAATTGGGGATCAAAGATTTGCCTAGAAATATCAATGAATTTTTTTTTCCCAAGAACAAGTTATGTTTAATCATATTGATATGAAGGCACTCTCAGGCAGTACAAAGTCATACTGGTTCAAATGAGGGCTCCCAGGGGTAGGGCTGGGCCACAATGGAGGGGGGTCAAAAGAATAAATAAGAAAAAATCATCTGCTAAAAACATAGCAAAGGCATTTGTTGTATGGAAGCATAATCAGGTAATTGGTAGTTTAAAATTCCAGACCCAAACCCCTTTGTAAACTTCTCAGTACTGAAGTGAATTCTGCTCAGGTGAGCGATGTGACCCATGTTTCTTTATTTAATCAAATGATAAACCAGTGGAATGCAGTGAAGAATTTGGACCTTGTTTTAAGGTAAAAAAAAATTAACTTGTATGCTAAAAGTAGTAATATTAGCAACCCAACTAAATGATAAAATTGTTTTATTAACTGGAAACAGATTCACTCGGATATACTTGTATGTATTTTCGAAAGAGAAAATGGGAGGGGGTCTGCGCCAGACTTCCAGAGAGAAGTTTTTTCCCTCATGACCATATTTTGTCCTCCATCTGATTACACGTCTGTGAAAATATGAGTGATGTACAATGTATGTTTATTTTAAGTAGTAATATCTATTATGGTGTAGAAATGTTAAGGTAGTATGATTTTGACTTTATATGTCCAATTTTTATTGAAGGCGCGCGAATTTCGAGTTTGGTGTTTGTAATGACAAAGCTTATAGCAGAAAAACCCCTTTTACTTTTTTCAAAATCTCCAAATCTTTATATTTGTAAAGAAGGTATGCTTCATTCGTCACCATGGGCGCATATTCTTGGTAAAAAAAATACGTAGTTTTTAAAAAATATTTATCCCCTTCTTTAATAGTTGGATTTGTTACAGGGTTCCTGTTACCCCTCCAGAAGGTGAATCCTCCATGCTCTCCTCACAGGAGGAAGATGCAACAGGTAATCATATATTTAAAAAAATAATAATCAAATGTCTTTTTCCTAGGTAAAAATAAATGTAGGGTAAAAGTTATACAACCTCATAATTAAAAAGCGCTATATGCTTACCACGCCTGAACAGTGATTTGTTAATTACATGTTTTTCACAATCAAATTGATTAATTATTTATATAACAAAACCCCAAAATATTAGGTATTTATTTCATGAAAATGTAAAGAGTAACGTGTAAAAAGTACTACAAAGAATACAACCAGCTTTCGTTTCGAAGTAAGAAATTTTCTTGCATTATCAGTGCATTTTACAGCATAATTAAACCTTTTTGTTATGTGTTTTCATACAGGAACTAAATTAATTAATAAAAATTGACAAGTTCAAGAAAAAATGGTGCTTTATAATACTTTGATATACATGTCATATACATGTTGTTAGCATTTTGTATATGATTTACACAACTTCCTTTGTTGTTATACCAAGCGCGTCACTAATTATTAAAAGTTCGTGTGCATTTCATGTTCCTCAACATAGAACACATCACTTTAATATTTTAGTTATAAACAGAATGAAACATTTTTTGCCTTCCTATCATGGCTTTTTATTTTATTGCGTTAATTTCATTTTTTTATTTCACTAGAAGACAGGCATTTTGAGAATGCCAGAAATACAAATGTCATTTTGAAAAACGTGAATGTTTTCGTTTTTAAAGCAATAGAATTCGTGAAAAAAAAACCATTACATAAGTTACGATTTTAATTACGCTCTTGTCTTGTTTCTTGTTCATGTGCCTCTTATGGCAAGTAACTCATTGTTAGATATTAAACTGCATTTCCATATAAATATATTTTCACTATGAGATGAAAATAATTAATGAGAAATTTGTTGTAATTTAGTTTATTTTAGCTCCAAGTATTACTGTTCTGTAATTTCAAATCATAGTCCTTTTTTTCATTTTAATCACAATTTACAAGAACAAAAATTTTCACCAATATTTAATTTGCCACCTTTTATTGTTTGAATGTAACAGTGTATTGGACTTTAGTGTGGATTACATTAATAGATATCTTCATGAAATAAAATTTAGGAAGTACCCGTTACATAAAGATGTTAATATGTGGAATTATTTTAAATATGGTAGTACGTGAGTAAATATACTTTTCATATTATGTCGTATCAACAGATATCTGCATAAAAAAAATTAAAAGTACCTATTGCTTTTCTTTCACACAAATATCGACTCGTAGTTTAAAAATGCTGAGTCCGCTTTTTTCACAGGGCCCATTTGCTTGATGCCAAGAGTTTGTCAGTCTATGGGGTATACATGCCAAGGACGAATCCTCAAGGAATCTTTATGACAGGTCATGCTACACATCTAGGTAACGGCATAAAGGTCAAAATATACCCTCAGTCCCCCCAGGTAAGATGGAGTACTAGATTTTTAAATCATGGTCTTAGACCTTTCAGTTTCAGCAGTGTTGCACAATACGTGTATGCACATCTCCTGAAAAGCTGTCTGGGTTAAAATTGTAGGACAAAAATAAAGCTAAATGGTATCAAAATTTCTATGAATAATATCTCTAAGTATTGTTAAAAGTCACTATTTAATCTATTCTCACACTTGTGTTGACTTGTTTCTAAGTATATCACATGGTTTACAAAATATCAGCGTATTAAATGGTTCAATTGATATTGGTTATGCAAATAATTTTTCGAAAATATATTCACATTTCTAGGTGGGGTTTGACAGAGGGGCATTAATCACTTTATATAGAGAGCATTTCGGCATTGATACATTGTTGTTAAAATAATTCCTTTGACATTTCCTGAAAAGAATGTTTTACATCATTTTGAATCCCATTTCCGTTTATTCATAGTGACAAGCCATACATTATAAAAGATGAAAGGAAAAATATGGTATTTATATCAAGGTCAGATACTATTGTAACAGTGTCCTCTTTTATGTATTTCCTCTTACATACACAATGCATTGCTTGTACACAAAAGAAAAAAAAATTGACTGTACAATGGTATATGGTTAAAAAAACCAACTCATTGAAAGAAAGAAAACG